TGAAAAGGGTGTGCAGAATGTCCTCCCTGTCAGTAGGTGGCGTTTGCTTGGAGGAACAGGCTATGCTGTTGTTTTTGTGTCCTGTAACCAGCTCTTGTTCCTCTAGAGAGGCACTCTAGTGCCTCAGGTGGTCAGTGTGGCCCTGGGACTTCCAGGTGTGTCCTTTTCTCCCCCTCAGTGAGGGCTGGTCTAGGAGAGAGTCTGGGCGGAGCTGGGTTGGGTAAGCCTGCCCTCAGGCACCACCAATGCCATTAGAAGGGGTCAAAGTTCTGTTCTGTGGTTCCCGGAAAAGCTGTCAGGGCGAGGCTGGAATGGCCCCTCTCAGTCAGAAAGTCTGCGTTTGGGGTGGGGCTGCCTGAGACTCGCAGTCTGGAGTGGGCCTCGCTTCTTTCCCCCTACCCAACTCGGCAGCTACTCCTGGGCCTCTGCCAGCAGGCCAGACCTCTCCTCCCCTGGCTGTGATGCTGGCTTGGAGGTTCCCTGCACAGGAACGCTACCTGGGCTGGGCCTCCCTTTGGGAGGAGGGTTGCCCTCTAGGACGCTGATCTGCCCCTGAAGGCACACACACCTCAGTAGGCTGTTCACGTATATCCCTTCTGTGCCCCGGGCAATGCGAGACCTCGGTGCACGGGATCTGGTCTGCAGGTCTGACCTCAGGGCCCCAGAGTTCAAACTATATCCCCACCAGGGAGAGGAGTGCCAGTCCCAATTCACCCACAGGGAGCCCAAGCTGGGTCTATGTCTCTCAGCCTCAGGGTCTGCCCCGTTCTCCTGGGATCACCGTGCCAGCAAGCACCTGGGAGGGCTGGCGGGTAGGGAGCTCACCGTCTGAGTTCCCCTTAGTCAGCTGTAGGGTCCCCAAAGGGAAGGTCCTGTTCCCTGGAGGTGACTCCGGCTGGTGGCTATATTGTCTCTCTCAGCAGCCATGGATAATGTTGGTGGAATGGGAGAAGAGGCAATATGGTGCCTGCTGCGCAGCTTGGGTCTGTGCACAGGGAAGTGCCCTGCGGGAGTTGGGAGCCTGGTGCCACATCCGCTACAGGCTTACTGCTCACTGGCGTTGGCCGTCTCGGGCTGGTGTCCACAGGTCTCTCCACCTGGTAGGGAGCCCACCAGCAATCTGATATGCAAAGGAGGGGAAATTTACCACTTTACCAACCCTTGCTGCTGGTCTCCAGGCTGCTCCGGAGGTCTGTGCTTCAGTTCTCTTCCGGAACCTCCTCCCGTGGAGTCTCCCGTGGTCTCAGGTACCCCTCCTTCCAACCCTTGTCTGATGTATGCTTGTCTTCTTGCTTCTTTCTTATAATTTCTGCTAGAATCTGTCTTTTCTGCAGAGACACTCTGTGTAGCGGTGTTTCTTGTCCACCATCTTGATTCTCCTCTGTCTCCTCTACTTTTGAGACGTGGGCTGTCGTTCTGGGAAGCACCCTACGTTTTCTCACCTCTCGCTTCTTGCCGAAGCCGCAGTGCTCCTCCTCGAACCCACATCCCATCGGTCACAGTGATGAGCCCCGCCGAGCACATGACCCAAGCTGGCAGCTGGAGGTCTCCTTCCTCTTCTTTTCCTTACCATTCCCACATCATTAAATTCTTTAGCTTACATATTATATTTTGTCAAAGCAATGCATGTACGTGATTTGAAAGGCCAAGTACTGTAGACTTTTAACTAAAAACAGTAGTTACCTACTCTATCCTAAATCATTCCAAATACTTACTCCTCCATGGCAACCACTTTCAACTCTTTGAAGTGCATCCTTTATCTCCCTGTTTCTTAAGAATACATTCCTATTGCAGTTTCTGGGGTTTTGGATGCTATCTCCTCTTCCTAAGGTGGAAGTGAAGATTTAACCTTCTTTCATGCCTCCCCTGGCCTCACAATGCTGATGCTGTTTTATTGCAGAATCTAAATTAATAGCTAGTGATTACATTTTTAATAGGTAAATATTGTTTGCAGCTCTGGCACATGGAATATTATAATTTTAGTTTCATTCTTGTACTTGTTTTTGCTCCTGAAGTTAATGATTATCTTGCTATTGCTTAGACATAGATTTCTGGGTACCTGTGGCAGAAACGGTTGAATACCCACCAACCACATCTGTTGTCCCCTTCTTCTGGGCACGTTGCTTGACTACATTTCTTAGTCTGCCTTGCAGGTAAGCATGACCATGTGATAAACTTCTTTCTCTTGGTACCAACTGAGTGTTTTTGTGCGAACTGCCCGCGCCAAAACAAAAACACAAAGATGAAAAAACTCCTTTCCAGTGATGAGGGACACCTCCAGGCCAAAGTGTCTGTAGTGGGCACAGCTCCTTCAGGGTCTTCTGCAACTTCCCACCAGCAACGTGTGAGATGTGGCCAAGGCCCTGTTTTGGCAACGAGAAGCCGTTGGCAACAGCAGAACACAGCTTGAGGGAAGCTGTATCACGACCGTTTCCAGCCCACCAACCTGGAATGCTCACCTTGCCCTGCTGTATGAGAGAGAGGTGAATTTCTTTATTCTTCAAGGAACTGCATCTGAGGTCTTTTTGTTACAGCACCTTAGCTTCGCCTTAACAGAAGTTGGTTCCCTGAGGCAGGGTGGCACCGTAAGTGAAATGATGGATGTATGGCTGTGGCTTAGCAGGTTGGCAGTTGTTGGTGAGCAAACACATCGAGGTCAGGGAAGCTTTCTAGTGGTCAGGGTTCTCCAGAGAAACAGAACCAATGGGACGCATGCACATACAGAAAGATTTATTTAAGGAATGGCTCACATGGTTGTGGAGGCTTGGTGAGTCCAAAAATCTGATGGCAGAGCCTGGCAGGCTGGAGACCCAGGGAAGAGCCCATGTTAGTTCAGCCCACCTGCTGCAGAATTCCCTCTTGCCTGAGGAAGGTCAGTCTTTTGTTCTTTGCAGACCTTCAGCTGATTGGGTGAGGCGCAACCACACTGGGGAGGGCAATTTGCTTCACTCAAAAGTCCACTGATTTACATATTAATCTCATCCAAAAACACCTTCACAGAAACATCCAGAATAATGTTTGACCAAATATCTGGGCTTTGTGGCCCAGCCAAGTTGACACAAAATTAACCATCACATTAGTACAAATTCATCTTGAACTGAAAATTCTCTCCTCATGACGTTCCAAACGCATGAGGTGCTGAGGCAGGCATTGCTGGCACTCCACTGGGGTTTTCTGTTCTGGCATCCTGGAAAATCCTTAGCCTCTTTCCTGTGTTTGCTCTCTGATCAGCGAACTTCCATCTTCTTTTTTTGGCTTATGCCCTTACTTTTGGTGGTTTGCTGAAAAAATTTTGAAAACTAATCCTCCCCGTTTGTGGCTTGTCTTTTTATTCTCTTAATAATGTCTCTATAAAAGCAGTTCTTAATTTTCATGAAGATTGATTTATCAATTTTTGCTTTTACGGATCATGTATATGTTGTGTCTAAGTCATCTTTGCCTAACCGCAAATCAGAAAGATATTTTTCTTACATTTTCTTGTAGGTGAATGATAGTTTTGGGCTTTACATTTAGGTTTGTGGTTAACTTTAACCCTTTGCACTCGGGTGTCGAGTGTGACTCGACACGGTGAGCATCGGTAGCAGCTCGTATGTCGAGCCACACTCGACACGGAGTTTCACCACGGGGGGAGGGGAATTTTTGTCTATTTTTCCAGTATCTTTTCTTGTTTTCAATAGCATGAAAGGACAAGTAAAATGTAAATGCAGAGATGGTACACTAACTTCCAGGGGTAGATTATTATCCACTAACTTAGAGCAACGTTTAGATGGGAAGCTCCATATAATCACACCTCACCCTAACAAAAAACACAAAGATTGTGTTGTTTGTTCTAACAGAAAAATCAAAGGAGGAAGAAGAGAGACGGTTTATATTTGTGAAACATGTGAATGTAAACCAGGTCTTCGTGTGGGTGAATGTTTCAAAAAATATCACACCATGAAAGATTATAGAGATTAAAATTACTCTTTGAATGCATCAATAATTTGAAATATAAAAAAATCCAAATAAATAAGTTTGTATGAAAAGAAACTCCAGTTTTTTATTCTACTGCCGAGCTTTGTAAAATCTGGGGTATTTAAAAAATTAAATCCTGAGTAGAATAAAGGACTCGAGAAAAAAAGCAAGCGAGTGCATAGGGTTAAGTATATTTTTGTATATGGTACAATCTATGAATTAAAGTTTCTTTCTCTTCAACTCCCCCCGCCCTTCCTTTTGTATGTGTATGTGTGTGTATGAAATCTCCAGTTATTTCAGCTCTGCCTTTCCAAGACTTTCCTTTCTCCAGTCCCATCTGAATATCTCCTATTTCTTGCCTTCTTGCACTGACCAGAATCTTCTATAGAATATTGCATGTAAATGGTGAGTGGAATTTCTGTCTTGTGTCTGGTCTTAGGGAGGAAGTATTTGGTCTTCGATCAGTATGATGTTAGCTGTGGGTAGTTTGTACATGTCCTTAATCAAGGTGAGGAAGTTCCCTTCTATTTCTAGTTTGCTGAGAATCTTTATCAAAATGAGAATCTTTATCAAAAATGAATGCCCATAAATAAAAAAAATAGAAAAAGAAAGAGAAAAGATTTAAAAAAATGGAGGCTGGTTGTTGCTGATAATATGCTAGTTAAAAGAAAAAAAAGGATTCTGGATTTCATGAAATGTTTTTTTTTCTGCATGTATTGAGATGAACATATGGATTTTTCTTTCTGTCTAATAATATGGTAAAATTATATTGCTTGATTTTCTAATTTTAAACCATTGAATTGCAATTGGTTGTGATTAATTATCTTTTTATATTTCTTATAAAATATTTTAGCATATTGAAACTGACAATATATAAAAAGATATATTATCTTTTAAATATCTTGTTCCTGGTCTTAGGGAGGAAGTATTTGGTCGTCCATCAGTATGATGTTAGCTGTGGGTAGGGAACTTCCTCACCTTGATTAAGGACATGTACAAACTACCCACAGCTAACATCATACTGAAGGAAGACCAAATACTTCCTCCCTAAGACCAGGAACAAGATAATTAAAAGATAATATATCTTTTTATATATTGTCAGTTTCAATATGCTAAAATATTTTATAAGAAATTTATACTTGTGTTCATAAAAGCTATTGTAGTTTTCTTTTTTTCAGAATGTGTTAGGTTTTGGTATCAGAATAATTCTAGCTTCTCATAATACCTTAGAAAATGTTTCCTCTTCTTCACTTTTCTGGCAAAGTTTATGTAGACTTGGTTTCTTCTTTAAATATTTGATAAGATTTCCTAGTGGAGCTATTTGGGCCTGGAGTTTCCCTTTGTGGGAGGGTTTTTAACTACAAATTCAATTTTGTTGATAGATATAGGGCTATTTGGCTTATTTCTTCTTGAGTTAGTGTTGGAACTTTGTGTCATCCAAGAAATTTGTCTAATTTGTTTAAATTGTCAAAATTATTGGCATAAATGTATTTATAGTGTTCCCTTATTATACTCTTTTTTTTTATTTCAGCATATTATGGGGGTACAGATTTTAAGGTTTCAATAAATGCCCATTTCCCCCTCTTATTATACTCTTAATCTCTGTATCACTTGAAGTGATATCACCTCACTAAATCCTAATGTTAATAACTTGTTTCTTCTTTCTTTTCTTTTTTCTGACCAATTTGGCTAGAGGCTTATTGATTCTATTGATAGTCTCAAATAATCAGATTTGGGGTTCATTGATAATAATCATGTTTTCTGTTTTTTATTTCATTGATTTTCACTGTGATATGTATGATTTTTTTTCTTGTACTTCGGTTTTGTTCACTCTTCTTATTTCTATTTTATTAATGTGGATACTGAAATCATTGATTCTTTTCTAATGTAGAAGTTTGGTGCTATAAGTTTTTCTCTAGACAGTGCTTAAGCTGCATCCTAAAAGTGTTGCTATGTTGTGTTTTCATTTTCTTCCAGTTAAAAATATTTTCAATTTCTATTTTTATTTCTCCTTTGATCAGTGTGTTACTTAGAAACATTATTTAGTTACTAAAAGTTGGAGGATTTTCTAGATCTCTTTCATTTATTGATTTCCAATTTAATTTCATTTTTTAGTCTGAGAACATGTTTTTATGACTGGAGTCTTTTTAAAGTTATTAAGATTTGTTTCGTGGCCCAGCATATCATTGATATTGGCAAATGTTCCAAATGAACTTGAAAAGAATGTGTTTTCTGCTGTTGTCGAGTGTTGTGTTTTATAGATGTCATTTAGGTCGAGTTGGTTGATGCTGTTATGTGTGTCTTCGATATCCTTACTGATCATTGGTTTACACACTCTTGTCAAGAAAGTAATGTTGAAATCTCTGACGCTATCTGGAGATTTGTTTATATCTACTTGTCTATATCAAGTTTTGCTGCATGTATTTTGAAGTTCTGTTATTAGGTATATAACATTTAGAATTATTGTTATGCCCTCTTGATACCTCTTTCATTATGACAAGATTCTTTTTATCCTTTGTAATAGTCTTTGTTCTGAAATGAACTTTGTCAAATATTAAAATGCTATCACTTTCTTTTTTCCAGATTTACTGAGGTATAATTGACAAACTATTATTTCTTTTGATAAATATTAGCAAGTACACATTTTCCTGTCCTTTGCATTTAATTTATTTGTATCTTTAAAGTAAATTTCCTGTAGGCAGTAGTATATGCTTACTTTTTAATACCATTTGACAATAGCTAACTTTTAAATGGATTTTTAGACCATTTACATTCAGTGTGATTATTGACATAGTTGGGTTTATATCTATCACCTTGCTATTTGTCCCATTTGTTCTTTGTTCCTTTTTCCTTGTTTCCCTACCTTCTCTTGAATTTATTGAACATTTTAAAATAATTCCATATCATTTACTTTGTCATATTAATAACTATATTTTTAGTTGTGATATTTAGGGTTTTCTTTAGAGTTATGATATATATTTTTTACTTATCACAGTCTACCTTTCAGTGATATGATACCACTTCAGGTGTAGTAAGAGGGACTTACAGTAGTCTAGTCCCATTTCTTCTCCTCTGTTTTTTGTGCTATTATCATAATATATTTTTCTTCTATATATGTTATAAATTCTATAATATGTTGTTATTGTTATTGCTCTAAGCATTTAATTATATTTTATGATAGTTTAATTTTAACAACCTTTATGTTTACTCATACAGTTACCATTTCTGCTGCTCTCCATTCCTTTGTGTAGGTACGGATTTCCGTATGGTGTAATTTTTCTTTTGTTTGCATTTCTCATAGTGCAGATCTGCTGGAGACACATTCTTTTGACTATTGCATGGTTGAAAAAAATCTTCATTTTACCTTTATTTTTCAAATATATTATCTTTGGGTTAAGAATTCTAGGTTGGCAGTTATTTTTCTTCAGAGTTTAAAGATGTTCCTTGACTGTCTTCAGGCTTGCGTGAGAAGTCTGCTCTCATCCTTGTCTTCATTTCTTTCTATGTAATGTGTCTTACTTCTCTAGCTACTTTTAAGATTTCCCTTTATCAGTGGTTTTGGGCAATATGATATGATGTGACTTGGTGTAGTATTCATCTGAAACCTCTTTAATCTCTAGGTTTTTCTCATGCTTTTGTAATGATGAGTCTTGGGAAAGCTGGCCCTGCTGTGTCATGAGAGGATGGATTTTAGGAAGGCTGGTCTGGACATGTCATGGGGGGAAACATACTTGTTCAGTGTGGGTCTCCCCACTGGGCTTTAAAAACTCCGTAAGTGCCCCCAAAACCATGTGGCTCAGAGTAGCTGCTCAAGGCTTGTCGAGTCAGTGAAAGAGTAAATAAATGAATGGACTGCACTCATTTTTTTCTACTCTTTCTAGTTCTCAGCTCAGTATTTCATCTACGGCTTCAAATCCTACTAAAGTAAACTGTCTGGATACAAAGAAAGAGTTGAAAAATTCAGCAGAAGCTGTTCCCAGGAGGCTGTGAGGAGAGGGAAGTGCAGAATGTGCCGCAGGAGAGACCTGAGGGAGGAAACGCCCGGTTTCGTGGTCACCCGGTCAGTAGCTAACGATGTGCTGTGACTCAGCTCCCTGAGCCTTGCACCTTGCGGGGAAGTATTGCCTCGAATAACAACAGCGTTTTGTGAAAATTAAACATTTGGTTGTGGGGCATGTAGGAAGATGAGAACACTAATTATAGTTTCTTTGGGGGGCCTGTAGCACTTGGAATCATGGTTACAACTCGAGTCTATGTGGGATTTGCTTCGGTTCTCTTTATTTCTACATTTGGTGTGACAATCCATTTACACAATGGACATTTGTTAAGGGTTTCAAGCCACGGCTTTTATGGGCTTCCATCTCTTTTTGAAAGAAGACAGATTTTCTGAGTGTTTCGAGTTTGATGGCAGTGTGGGCTGGCTCACACGGACAATTGGTATGCTGTCAGGGATCGGAGCTCATTTATGTGTCATTGTTTGGAACTACTCAGAAATAGCACCAGGGCCAATGATGTTGCGAGTCCTTAACAATTTGAATTATTCTGCTGTTCATTTGCGTAGATCAATTTGTCTTTAAAATTTATTACCGTACAGAAGATGCAGAGAGAAATGGGTTAAAAGGCTTGAGTTTAAGCCAAGGATCTGCTACATAAAAATAATAAGAGTGAGACGTCCATCCTGAAAAAGATGACTCATTTCTCATTTCTCCCTGCTCTTCCCAGCTAAGCCCAGCATGGACCTTGTAAATAAAGCGAGAGGGCCAGAGGAGAACCTGAAAGGTGAAAGGAGGGAGGTAGCCTGGTTTGGGACCTGAGGACTGAAGAACAATGTAGTGACAGTGGTCGTACATCCCCTACTTGATAGAGTAAGGCAACCAGGCCCTCAAGCTAGCAACAGAAGGTAGCCAGAGTGGGCACATTCTTCCTCCAGACTGAAAGAAGATGAGAGGGACACCTGCGAGAGGGACTGATTGGGAACCCTAGTAGCAATAAGCAGCCAGCAGGGAAGTGCTCTCTTTCCTTCTAGACCCCAGATTCTCTTCTTGACCGAGAAATCCTGAGACTCTGAGCAGCACTCAGAAAGAATCCTGCAACAGGTGGCCTGGCTCAGGAAGACCCTTAGACTCCCCTCTCCCACTCAGAGACCCTGGGAATAGAACAAGCTGTATATGCGGTAGCTATAGAGTATGCTTTGATAAGTCTTACATATGTATCGCTACAGTAGTCAATACAGTGGATATTGGACAACAATAGACACACAGATCAATGGTATAAAATAGAGAACTCAGAAATACATCCACAGAAACCAGCCTGAGTTTTTTTTGTTTTTTTTTTTTTTTCGGCATATTGTGGGGGTACAGATTTGAAGGTTTCCCTAACTGAGTTTTAACAAAGCTGCAAAAGCAAGCCAGTGGAGGAAGGCAGTCTGCAACAAATGGTGGTGGAACAATTGGATATCCATAGGCAACCCCTCCAAAACCCCAACAAATAAAACCCAAAATCCAACCTAAACTTTACACCTTATACAAAAATTAACTCCAAATGAACCTAGTCTAAAATGTCAAATAATTAGGAATTATTCCCTTTTCCTAGATCATAATTTCCCTTCCTTTACCTGATTCTTTGAGACATACACAAACGTGTTGTATGCCAAACAGTACAACTTTTAGGGGAGAAAAAGAGAAAATATTTAAGATCTAGGGTATTTCTTAGACTTGACACCAAAAGCATGATCTATAAAAGGAAAAATGGATAAATTGGACTTCTTCAAAATTAAAAACTTTTGCTCTGCAGAAGGTCACGTGAAGAGAATGAAAAGACCAGCTGTGGACTGGGAGGAGATATTGCAAACCACGTGTCTGTCAGAAGGCTGGTGTCTAGGATGTATGCACTCTCAAAACTCAATCGTAGAGAAACAAGCAAGCCGATTATGAAGTGGACAAAAGCTACGAACATTTTCCTGAAGAGGATGTATAGCTGGCACATAAGCACGGGGGATAATATTCAACATGATTGGCCATTAGGTAAGTGCTATGCTACTTCACGCGAATCAGAATGGCTAAAATAAAAAAATAGTAATAACACCACATGCTGGCAAGGATGTGGAGAAACTGGACCACTCTATCATTGCTGGTGAGAATGTAAAATGGTACAGCCACTCTGGACAACAGTTTTTCAGTATTTTAAAAACTAGACATGCAACTACCACATAGCCTAGTAATCACACCTCTGGGCATTCATCTCAGATAAATTAAAATTATGTTCACATAAAAGTCTGCACCTGAGCATTCAAAGAAGATTTATTGGTAATAGTCAAAACAGCTCAGATGTCCTTCGACAGGTGAATAGTTAAATATATTGAACATACCCTGGGGTATGTTCAGACCGTGGAACACTGATCAGCAAACCAAAGGAAGAACTATGGATACTTAAAACTTTTTGAGGTTGTGGCAACTATGCTGAGTGGAAAAAGCCAATCTTAGAAGGTCACATATGATTGTATGGTTCCATTTGTATGACACTCCTGAAGTGACAACATTTTAGAGACGGAGAGTAGATTTCGGGTTGCCAGGGAGGCGGTGCTGGGAGGGAGGTTGGGTGACTATGGAAAGGCAGCACCAAGGACCCTTGTGGTGAGTGCATGTTTCATGCTTTGACTGTGCTGCTCAACATATGAACCTACACACGTGACAAATGTGTGAAACTAAATACACACACAAATGAGTGCAAGTAATATTGGGGAATTCTGAATAAGATTGTTCTGTTGTAGCAGTATCAAAATCTCTATCAATATCCTGGCTGTGACATTGTACCATAGTTTTGCAAAACAATACCTTTGGGAGAAACTGAGTAAAAGGCAGGTGGGATCTCTCTGTGTACTTTCTTATAACAGACTCTGAGCCTATAACTTATCTCAACAAAAATTTCATTTAAGAAAAATAAATGACAAAGCCTGAGTGGCGTACCCAAATCCATAAAAATGTGTGGAGGATCTCAAACGTGCTTATGATGAAACCAGGATTTCTAAAACAAAACATTGAATTGGAGTTGACATCTGTTTAGCACACAAGACACCCCAGGCGCTGTGCTAGTGTCGGACAGGCATGACCTCTTTTCGTCATCATGCTTGTCTTTTCAGGATTTCCCTCATTAGAGAAACTGTGCCTCCATTTCCTTGACAGTGTGAGGGTGATGATACGTCTTCTAGGATTGACTTGAGGTGCTAAGTGAATCTCAACATGTGCGGTGCAGACACCAGGCCCTGAGTCGTAGGGGTGCTCACGTGAAGCTGGTATCAGTACCGGAAGCATTCCCTTCTCCCAGATCTTAGTTTCCTTTGTTTACATGATTGTTTGAGATATGCACAAACATGCTGTAGGCCAAGTTGTTCTAGAACAGCAAAAAGTGTGGTGAAAGACAGAACTTGGGTGTGTGAAAGGCAAACTTACTTGTCTTCAAATAACTATAAATTAAGTGTCTGGAAGAAGCAAGGGAATGTGTTAAAAATATTGGCAAAGATCATATGGTAGTGATGGGATATTGATAAGATGTTTTCAAAAATAAACTTTTAATTTTAGCACAGTTTTAGGTTTACAGAGATGTTGTAAAGACAGTACAGAGAGGCCCTATGCACCCTGCCCCCAGTTTCCCCATTGATAATGTTGTGCGTGACTGTGGAATATTTGTACCAACTGATGGACTGATACTGACACACTGTTACTAGCTAAAGTCCATACTTTGTTTGGATTTCCTTAGTTTCCCCCTAATGTCCTTTTTCCTGTCCTAGGATCCGTCCAGGATGCCACATTCCATGTCCCCTCAGGCTCCTCCCAGCTGTGACAGTTTCTCAGATCTTCTGTGTCTTTGATAGCCTTGACTATGATGAGGAGCATGGTCAGGTATATTGTAGAATATACCTCGATCAGGTTTGTTTGGTGTTTTTCTCATGATTTGACTGGGGTCATGGGGTTTTGGGAGGAAGATTACAGAGGAAAAGTGCCTTCATCTTTGTATGATATCAGGGGCGTCTGCTGTCACTGTAACTTACCATTGATGATGTTGACCTTTGCCCCTGGCTAGGAAGTGTCTGCCAGTCTTCCCACTATAAAGTTATTTTCTGTTTCCTCTTTCAGACAGTACGCTTTGGGACGAAGTCACCATGGGCAGTGAACATTTAAGGATGGAAGATTTTTGCTCCACCTGAGGAGTATCTACAACAAACTATATGGAATTTTGTGATGCGGGAGGTTTGTCTCTTCTCCCCTGCATTAGTCAGGAGTCTCCAGAGAAACAGAAACATTAGGATGGAGATACAGGAGGAGATGTATTGAGAGGAATTGTCTTACATGATTACGAAGGCTGAGAAGTCCCACAGTCTGCAGTCTGCAAGCTGGAGACCCAGGGAAGCTGGTGGTATAATTCACTCCAAGTCTGAAGGCCTGAGAACCAGGGTCTCTGGCGTCTGAGGGCAGGAAAGAATGGATGTCCCAGCTCAAGAAAAGAGAAATAATTCACCCTATTGCCCTTTTCTTCCATTTGGGCCCTCAGTGGGTTGGATGATGCCCACCCCCACTGGTGAGAGTGGATTTTCCTTACTCAGCCTACCAGTTCAAACACTAATTTCTCCCAGAAGCACCCTCATGGAAATACCCAGAAATAATGTTTTACCAGCTATTTGGACAACATTTAGCCCAGTCAAGTTCACACATAAAATTAACCATCACATCTCCTTCTACTTATTATTCATTTATTTAAATCATTGTAGATTTATGGATATTTTATACTTTGGGTTATAATCCAGTACTACTTTATGAATTTTCTCACTCAAATTGTCCCAGATTTGATCTTTGGGAGCTTTCATTTCATTTCTGTGCCCCTTTAACACATCCCCATAATTTGGTTTTTCTCTGTTTTAGCATTTTCTTACTTTATGACACCACAAGGTAGTCCAGATTCATCTTGTATATTCCTCTGCCCAGCCCTGGAACCAGCCAGTTCTTCAAGGAGCACTGATGCCTTTTATTGGAGAATGGTATTTGAAAGCAAGACCAGGGCATTGGGAGTGCTTGATGCTATTGGAATGTCACCGCTTCTAAGTCCTTAGAAGACAGAGCAAGGAAACATATGTGTGCATACTAACCTGTGCATAGGCACAGCTTTATAAATGCATCTAATATCTGTCCGTACATGTCTATGTCCATCCATCTGCAGGTACCTTTGTATATTAAGCTAAACAGGAGTTCACACTGATGTTTGCAACTCTCATGTATTAATAGTACCATATGCTTCAGTCTATTATTAATAGCTTGCTCATTTGTAAAATGATGTTGAAAAAAGGAACTTGTAAATTATTTATTGTCAGATATTATGTTATTGAAAAACCAGAAGTTAAATTTTCTTTCTGTGTGCTTAGAGCATTTAGTCTAATTTTAACCTGAGGGAATATGTTTCTTTACTTTCTATAATCTGTCCAAATGCAGAGGTTTCTTATATACCCAGGCACATGTCTGTGCTTTTGGTGACTTTGTTATGTCCTTCATTAAAAACAGGACATGGGAAGGAGTTTCTCACTTCTGAGAGACTTGGGCTCTTTCAGGCATATTATCATCTTCCATGTTTATTAAAAACAATGCCTATTGTTTTGCTTAATAGGTAGGCAAACTATCATTCTTAGGCACCCATGGTTCACTCTTAATTAAGCAACCAAATCTTCTCTGACAATTCTTTTGATTTTGCCCTCCCAAGATCAAATATTAAATTCATAAAAATAATATATTTTATATTTTGTTAACACTTAGAACCATTCTTGTGATTTCTCAGAGGGCACCAGAAAATCACAAAGATTTGTATGGTTAAATGCAAAGGAAAAACACTGATTAAAGCATATGAAATAATTATGTATCATACTCTAATACAGAACTTGATTTTCCCCCATTTTCATGTTGTTGGTTACTGGAATAAAATAACCACAGCCCTGTCATCAACAGCTAGTGTCTGCCTTCTTCTGATTCCCCGAGGGCTCTGCTCTAGGTTACAGGCTGAGAAATTAGGTCTTCAACAAACATGATTAGTTTCAGGATGGTATCATGGAAAGGACTGCACCAGGTACTGTTGACTACTCACATTCCAAGAAATGGATGCAGACCTTAGAGATTAGGCAGGCTTGGCTTAGACAACTTTCAGACTGCACTGTAGGCTAAGTCAAGATTTCCAGGTCTCTTTTCGGGCCAGAAGCAGATGAGTTCACAAAACTAGAATGTTGACCCAAGATCCCATGGAATAGGAATGAAGTGCATAGGGCTGAATGAAATCGTAATTATTCATTTGGAATGTTGTTGAAAACTGTATTTAGTGATCTGTTTTCTGATAGATATACAAGTAAGCCCTTTGCCTTCCTTTTTAATTTGTTTCCAACACTCAATTTTGGAGACTATGCTTTAGCAAACTGAAATGAAATGTTTATGGGGCTTTGTTCTTCAATTATTCAGTGGTATGCCCTGCCATTAAAGCATGTAGCTCCCATTTTTTCATGTAGCTCCTATTTTTTCATGGTGGCCAGAGATTTCATGAGAGGTCTTGTCAAATGTCTTGTCTGACCTAGGTATATTTATTTCTTAGCCCTTATGTCCTAGACCTACTTATCAGACCAACCTTACTGGAAAACAAACTGTCTCTCATGACCTGGCCTCAGTGAACTCACGGGATATGAAGGCATCATCGCTTCCCTGTCTAGATGCTTCCGTGCCTTGTCTCCTACCGCTGATTTTACAGCCTTATCTGGGACCAATGCAGAGTTCTAAGGTCTGTAGTTTACATAATGCATCTTACTTCACTTTATTATTTTTTTTAATTTCAGAATATTATGGGGGTATAAACATTTTGGTTAGATATAATGCCTTTGCCTTGCTTGAGTCAGGGCTACAAGCGTGCCTTTCTCCCAAACAGTGTGCTCTGCATCCATTAATTGTGAGTTTATCCACCCCTCTTCCCACCTCACTGACATCCAATGAATATAACTACCATGTGAGCACCTTAATGTTGATCAGTTAGTACCTATTTGATGATGAGTACATGTGGTGCTTGTTTTTCCATTCTTGTGATACCTCACTTCGAAGGATGGGCTCCAGCTGTATCCAGGATAATATAAGAGGTGCTAGTTCACCATTGTTTTTTGTAGTTGAGTAGTATTCCATGGTATACGTATATGACATTTTATTAATCCACTCATATCTTGACGGGCACTTGGGTTGTTTCTATATCTTTGCAACTGTGAATTGTGTTGTCATAAACATTTGAGTGCAGATGTCTTTATTATAGAATGTCCTTTTTACCTTTGGGTAGATGCCTACTAGTGGGATTGCTGGATCATCCGATAAAGGGCTGATAACAAGAATCTGTATAGAACTTAAGAAAATTAATAAGAAAAAAATCAAACAACCCCATCAATACTTGGGCAAAGGACATGAACAGAAACTTTTCAAAAGAAGACAGACAGAATAATGGCTAGCAAACATATAAAAAGCTGCTCAACATCTCTAATCATTAGGGAAATGCAAATCAAAACTATAATGAGATATTACCTAACTCCAGTGAGAGAGGCCTTTATCAAAAATTCCCAAATCAACAAATGCTGGTGTGGATGTGGAGAGATTGGAACATTCTTACACTGCTGATGGGACTGCAAACTGGTACAACCCCTGTGGAAATTGGAGATAACCCCTGTGTAATTTGGAGATACTTCAAAGAGCTAAAAATAGAAATACCATTTGATCCAGCAATTTCATTTCATGTTTTTCAAAATTTCATCATTTTCTTTATCCCAGAATCCTTTGCTTTAGCTCTATTGTTCCTTAGAGACTCCCTAGAGGTTTACTGGGCCCATTTGGAAATACAGTGGGTCACAATTCCAGGGCAGCTGAAAGGGTATCAATAACCAGACTCTATGCCATTAGGGGGTTGATCCCTTTCCAGAAAGCTTAGTGGTTCCCGGGCTAAGGAATAAATAAATGAAGGGATGAATGAAATGTCATTTTCTGATTCTGGGAATGCACTGTTTCTCTGCTCACATAAACTCTGACACCAAATGTGTTGGTTTTTCTCCCACTCTAAGCAATTCTCCCTGTCCGGACACTAACAATTTTCACAATTGTTTCACAATTCAATTCAATTTTGATATCATCTACCTGGAGTTAGTGTCAGATCCCATAGGTTAGGGCTTGATCCCATGAGACTGTCCCCACTCACAGTCCCACCTGTGCTTCTGACCGCACAGCTGTAAGTTGGGGGCTCCCATGACCCACTCCAGAATGGCTCAGAGAACTCAGGGAAACACTTTGCTTACATTTGCCAGTGTGTCATAAACAACTCAGGAATAGCCAGGTGGCAGAGATGCACAGGCAAGGCATGGATGGGGGAGGTGCAGAGCTTCTACGCCCTCTCTGGGCCCACCACCCTCCCTGCACCTCCGTGTGTTCACTAACCTGGAAGCTCATCAGATCCTGCTCAGGAGTTTTTACAGAGCTCCCCCTCCCCTCCCCCTACCCAGAGGTCAGAGGGTAGGGCCGAAAGCTCCCACCCTCTAATCACCTGGTCATCTGGTGACCAGCCCCCTCCTGAGGCTATCTAGGGTCCCCTCTCTAAGTCACCTCATTAGTATAAACTCAAGTGTGATCACAAGGGGCTTGTTACGATAACAGAAGATGGTCCTGTCACTTAGAAAAATCCAAGGGTTTTGGGAGCTTTGTGTCTGGGGACAGAGACCAAATAGATCTCTTATTATGCCACATGGACTCTGTCTTCTCAGCCTCCAGGTCTTGGCTGAGGTGCTGTTTCCACAGAGTAGTCCTTCCCTGCCCGTGCAGTCCAAATTAGGCTCCCCGACGGGTTTTTCCACACGCTCTGTTTGCCTCACAACTTCCGGTGTGTATTTGAGTGTCTATGTGCCCACTGTCCGTGAGCCCCACGGGAGAGGGACTGTGCCTGTGTGTCCCTCAGGGCTCGCACGGCCTGGGCTCACCTCACACACAGAGGTCACGACACAGGAGTATTTACTCCTAGAAATAAAACAGGGGATTGATAACCCAGCCAGGGGAATATATATATCAACTTAGGGTTGGTTCGAGTTAAATTTAGCAATATTTACAGGGAAAAAATGGCCATTTATTCCACATGCTCTGATTCTGACCACAATGGGGTCATTCACAGAGCTGGTCACAAGTGTGGCAGATGGTCTGTCTGCTTCACAATGTCGTACTTGAAAGATTTAACATGAATCACACAGCTTTAGGCAGATGACAAGGTCAAATACAGGTGACTCAGATTTTGGGTGCCGTAGGCGAGAGGGAAACCTGACAGCGTAGACAGAGCTGGGTTTGAGGGCAGAGGGCAGTCTGCACGCATCATGGTAGAATTGTTTTTAAAGTTCATTTAATCTCTGTAAAAGAAAATAAAATTTCAAGACCCTCAAAATGTACTAAGCCCAGAGGGAAGTTAAGCCCTGGAAACCGAGTCACAGAGCATGCTCGTAATTCTGCTTCTCAGACTGCAGATGAACTCTGTTCCTCATTGTTGTTCTGTGAATGACCAGGACAGACCAGAGACAGACCCCTCCCTCCAGTCACTGTCTTTGCTCTGCACTGACTGCACTGGCTCAGACCAGCGGCACCCAAGGTCTCCTGACAGGTACATCTTCAGCGGGGAATGTTAAGTATACCTTTTTTTTTTTTTTGAGACAGAGTCTTGCTTTGTTGCCGAGGCTAGAGTGAGTGCCGTGGCGTCAGCCTAGCTCACAGCAACCTCAAACTCCTGGGCTTGAGTGATCCTCCTGCCTCAGCCTCCCGAGTAGCTGGGACTATAGGCATGCGCCACCATGCCCGGCTAATTTTTTATATATATATCAGTTGGCCAATTAATTTCTTTCTATTTATAGTAGAGACGGGGTCTCGCTCTTGCTCAGGCTGGTTTTGAACTCGCCTCGGCCTCCCAAGAGCTAGGATTACAGGCGTGAGCCACAGCGCCCGGCCTAAGTATACCTTTCTTGAAAGAAAAAGACCACTTGGACTAATCCGTTATTTGTGACTATGCACTAAGCCTTACATGGAAAGATGTTGAAGTTCTGTTAAGCTTCACTTTGTGCATGGAAGCGTTCCCAAACTTCTACACTCTGGAACACTGACTTCCATTCTTGGGAATCTGCTTCCCCAGGTGGCTAATCCTCAAACTTCTCGCTTTGTGAACTCTCTTTAAACTAGATTCTGACCCTTTTGATTATTTTAGGTTGACATCTTTCAGTTTCTTTTTATGTAAACAACACAGCTTTCCTGCGAGGATGCAGTGAAACGTGAGAACAATTTCATTGTTCCTACAAAGGGAGCTGTGGCCCTATGGCAAGGGGGCCCCTGCGGCTGCGTCTGTGACCCTCTGCAGCGGGGCCAGATGTTGCTATCCCCCGACTGCTCGACTGCTCGACTGCTCACACCCCTCGGCTGCCGGGCTCCGGCCGTGGGCAGGGCGCCCAGCCCCTTTCCTCAGGCCGGCGAGGCAGCTGCGCTAGAGGGGCTGTCGTGGGAGCCCCTGGCAGAGGAGGGGAAGGCTCTGTTCTTGGATGCAAGAAACTGAGGACAATCCAGCATGTGGGTCAGCTTGTCCCCACGCCCGCCTGGTGTTGTGAGGGGACAGGAGGGGCGGCCCCAGCCGCACCAGGAAGGGGCTTCCGTGCCTGGAGGAAGAGGACCATGGAGCGCTTCAGAACAGGCCTCCGCCTTTCTGCTCCAGGCTCTGAGGTGACCGTGCTGCCGAACACTCGGCACTTGTCCATGAGGCCAAATCAGAACCAGGACAAGTGTCTTTGGGGAGGAGGAAAGAGATATATGTTACCTTTGCCGGCAAAGGGAGGAAAAACCAGACTGTCATCTCAAAATCCAGTTTTTCCTGAACATAGGCAGAAATAGAGCTTTTAAAGGGAGTGTTCTCAGCTTCAGGCAACTACTAGGGTTAACTATTCTACTCGTCCCACCTCTGCCAAAGACAACACCTGAGAATTCCACCAGCTGCCCATCTGGGGCTGGCACCACCTGGGATAAGAACTGAAGGCCTGTCCCTGCTTCTCCCACCACTGGCCTGAGGCAGGGATGCGGGTTTCAGTTCTCCAAAGAGACAGAAAACATTTTTACATTTTTTTTCCCAGGCCATTCCCTCTGTTACAACTGGGCCTGCCTTTGCTCCCGTGAGGAGCCTGGAGCCA